ACTTGTGTAATCCTTGCAAGCTGCAGCCCTTTCTTTCATCAGATAGTCGCCACAGTTCGATTATGTGAGAAAAGTTTCCTAACTAAACAGACTGGGCTCTTTTTAAATGGATGAGGTCAGCGTTTAATGTGCCAAAATTAAATGATGTGTAAATTACAACCATCTGCTGCAACTGGGCATTGTGCCAAACGGGGGTTTGGAGAATGGAGTTAAATGTTGACATGAATGCTACGAGTCAAAAGGCCATTTGACCCCAAAGGCGTGCTGCACCAGTAGATCAGGAGACCTAAATTTGACATTGATGGCAACTAAAACCAATTGGATGCATGTGATTCTTCTGATTTTATTATGGAAAAGGATGAAGAAATGGGAAGACTGGTCATACGTTTACATATGCTGCTTATGAGCAAAAATGTTATCTTGGGCTTTCTTTTTCAGGGTGGAGTAGTTGCATAAAGAACTGCAATTTGTTTTATTTTTTATTTTTTACAAATGTGTGCACAATTTAGAATGCATTGTAGTCTTTATTCCACAAAGGGTCAATTCTATGTAAAAATGACATTTGGTTAAATGTCCTAAGCAGGTTTTGATATAAACCCAACACTTTGTTCCTGGCATGATTCTGACTGGATACTTGACAGTTTTTGGCAGAGTTTATGCAGTTTAGTAAAATTGTTTACTGTCACATTTGTCACTTTTGCATAGTCCAGAAATATTTTGTATAGTTGAGGTCAATCATTTTTTTACTAGCCAACATTATTTATTCCAAAACAAATTGAGATGTTTTGGATCATTAACTTGTTTGAAAACCTAATTTCTAGCTGCTTTGGTGTGAAGTTGAATAATTTAGTGAGATCCCTTTATTTTTTGTTTTCCAATTCACCCTAGCTTAATAAACCAGTTCCACTGGCAGCAAAACATGCCTGTAGCATGATTGTTCCACTATTGTACTAGACAGTGGCCCAGTGTTTTTATTTCAGTCTTATCTGATCTTTACTCCAGGGGATTTCTGCTCATCTAAGTTGAGCGCAAATTCACTGTTGCTGTAGTGACTTTTTGTTGAGCTCCTCTCAAGTCATGGCAACATAAAACTTGTTTCTCTGTGGACAGATTCCAGTTCATGAGAGGCTTGAGTCCTGGCTGTTCCTGAATGGCTCCTTATCATTCAGACCCATTTAATTTTCTCTGAGGCTGGCTGTCGGCCTCAGATGGCTAATGCTTGGAAACAATTGGGTGTTCCAACAGGAGAATAATGCCAAGCACTGGTTGATTTATCCCACCTCCTCTCAATCCCACAACAAGAATGGATAAAGCTGTTAAGTTTTTCAAAATCCCTGACCCCAACCTTATTGTAAATTTATTGGCAATGCCTGAAAGCTGGGCCTGAGCCAAGACAACCGCCATATTGAATAAAATCTAAAATTTCTGCCAAAAAATTGCTTCAATATCTTGCCAATAGTATGGCAGTAGCTTCCGAAGGTTACAAGAAGGCACATTCAAACAGGTGTATTTCTATTAATTGGACCCCAAATGAAGTTGCTTGTATGATGATTACACCAGGGAAAGAATGGTTTAAATAATTTAAGTCCAGAATTTAGATGCGTTTAAAAAAAAAAAAAAAAAAAATCCCTAAAAAAATTACATTTAAAATACAAACCTCAATCAAAAAATTGATGCCGCAGGTATTGACCTGTTGAGATTGTAGAAGTCGTTTTCCTCATCTGTCTGTATCTCAGCAGTGGGATAATCCGTAGAATTAAATCATGGCTGTAAGGGTTTTCTTTCATTCTCACTCTTTGGATGCAGCCCAAGATTTAGCAGCAGGGAGCGACTTTTATTAATGGGATTGTGTCTATGGCTGCCCAGAGGCCTCTTCTGAATCTGGGCTAGTGGGTTATAGGCACAGGGGGATGAAGGGTTTCCAAGTTGCAGACAGATGTAGTGTGTTTTGGGTAAGAATGGACTAGGCACTTTGGAGACATTCACATGTCTTGTTCTTCCCCCAGGCCAGTAAGTGACTTCAGCATCTGTTTTCACTGAGTGGGGAGTTGGCTGTGTTCCTTTTAACACCTGCAACTGGACACATTAATTGTCATGAACCTGTGCAGTACAGTGTCTGCAGTATTTGTACACTTTCTGAAACATTGAAAGCTTCAAAAATCAATACCTTGTTTTTTTTTATAATTGGAAAATACAAAGTATTTGTATTTGTCAAGTATTCTTCCAACCCATCACTTCTGCAAACCCATCAAGTTAGCTTAGTCTGTTGAGGAAAAAAGCAACCAAAAAGCCCATGGTAACTCTGGAGGGGTAGCAGAGAGAGCCATAGCTCAGCAAAACTCACAAAGTCTACAAATTAGACTTTTTATGCAAGGGTGGCAAGAATGTGCTCTTGTCAGATTGCACCAAAAGAACATTTAGTTGTTGACTAGCAACCTTGACTTATCACCTCCCATCATGTAACATGGTGGCGGTAGGATGATGCTGTGGTGATTTTCTTGACCAGAGATGTGTATAATGAAGTTAAATGCAGAGTAATTGCATGAAGGTGAACTACTTACTGGATTGCACAGGAATTTATTTGGCGTTTTCAGGGCTAAAGGGCATTGAATGGAAATGTGTGCCACGCTTTTTGGATAGTTTAAAAAAAGAAAAAGATTCGTAATGTTACTTCCACTTCACAACTGTGTACCACCTTGTTGGTCTAGCTCATACAAATCTAATAAACATTGAAGTGTGATATTGTCATGTGACAAAATATAAAGTTTCAAGGGGTGTAAGAACTTGCTACTATTTAAAAAAAAATAAAGTCAAGCCCTACTTGTTGATGCCAATGCATGTTACAACAGACATGGTCTGGAGTAATGGAGGTCATTAAACAAATAAGGATCAAGTAAATTTTACATGTACTGTAACTGGACTGAAGATGGACTCCAAATGACTGCGACATTTGAATACAACGGTCTCTATATAGAAAACCAAAACGGATTTGTCTAGAACATTAGCAACATCATTAAAAAGCTGCATAGAAAGACATCAGAGCAGCCGAATACCGTTTCCACTCTCCTGAGACTCATTGACTAACTTGATAGAAGTTGGCTTGCCTTAAAAAGTTCAAAAGTGCAGAGCAGGCAACCAAAGCAGCTGGTGGACATGAGCATCTCTGGGAATGTTTTGGCACCATGCCATCATTCCACTATATTGTTTGTGGGAACAAATGAACCAATTTCTACAAACTGACAAGTAAGCAAATTTCAGCTCCTCCACTCAGATTCTTCAGAGTGGAGATCAAGCGGTTGGCATCAGTGAAGTCATTTAAATTGTCCTGTACGCAAATGAGTCCAAATAATTTGCACCATTCTTTCTCGATTTGCTCAGCCAGACTTTTTAAAGAGTGCTCCCTTCATCCTGAGTGAGCAAGCAGTTTTGGAAATTGACTGCTGAGAACTACTAAGAGCTGGACAACTTTTTTTATGTGCTAATAACCCTGTACACAGCAGGAGGAGAGAAGACCAGGGGAGCAGTGAAGTAGAAGTCTTCACAGGGTATCTTTTTTTTTTGCGCCCCCCCCAGAGCATCGAGCTGTTTCTAAACTTCTACTGAAACTTGACAATGGTGAAGGCGATGCTCCTTGAGGGTCAATCGGATTTTCCCTTTGCCCCATAAAAACTTAAGACAAACTTATATCCTCAAATATTTAATTACTGCTTTTTACGTACCACCAATCTGGTTTGATGCATACAAGTCGAAGTCCTGGAAGCACAATCTAAAATACTTTATATTTTAATTTGATTGGCTGGGAGAACCATCACTCATGTCCTTTGGCAGCTGTGATTGAATGATGTATCCATCATTCAGAGATACTTTGACTTGGTGTTTTAGTTTCTGGCTGTGCAGAGAGAAGATCACTATACGGCTTTATCCACATACTAGGTTGTGGGCACAGTTTGTTGCTACAGCAGGGAGTAGGTTTTTGGTGCAGCAAAGCCCTACATTAAGGCACTGGGTGGGCCCCTCTTTTTATCTGCAGCCCTTTAGCTGGAGATGAAAAGATCACAGTTAAAAATGGAGATGGGGCATCAACACAAGGCCCAAAACTGCCAACTCCTGCACAGTCTTTGTTATGGTTCATCCCAGCCCAGATTTCTTCACAAGCTGAAAATATTAAACTCCAACAAAAAAATTGCATTAAAGGCAAGCTAAATGCATGCAGTAGAGTTTTCTTTCCATTTTCTGTTTTAAAATTGAAACTCCAGGGCAAAAGTTTGAGTAATAAAACATCTCATTATCGTGTTATAATGAAATTCGTTATTCATAAGGTTTTAATCCACTTCTAGAGCCAAAACTATGAATTGTTTGCCATTACAGCTTTAGGGATTTATTGATTATGATTGGCGACAAAACGACTATGGAGTTAATATTTTAATTGCTCTTATTACCAGTTGGCACAGCTAGTGTTAGTAAAATGACAATCTCCGTAATTACACAATTATGTAAAACCCTCTGAGAGTGCCAACATTTCAATTTCCAATAGGTTCAATGACTGAGGTTATAGCTCTAAAGGAATAAAATGGAGCAACTGAGATATGCTTCACCTTCCTGTTATTTGCTGAAACTCTTGCTCTTTGTCAGCTGAATGAACAGCAGACATGTAAATCATGGGTTTTGGTTTAAATGACATGTAACATCTGTGCATCTAAGTTTTATGAAGGACATTGTTGTTATGAAAACCTTTTTGTTTTAGAAATATTTTTCTCACCATAGATCTTGGAGTTCTTAGAGTAGGCATGGTGTCTCTGGTAATCTGGAAAACATTATTTTTGACTTTCCAGGTTGAAAATTGTCATACGTTTGGGGGTGGGAGGCTGGGGGCATGGTCCAATATTGTAAGGATTGCTTTATTTCTCCCAAGACAAAATTCTCCAGTATACAATTTTTATTTATTTTATATATAAATATTAGTGTAACATGTCATTTGCTTGCTTTGTATTTTTCTTCAGGAGGGGACACCGGCAGCCAAGATGGAGGTGAAAACATCACTTCTAGACAACATGATCGGAGTTGGGGACATGGTCCTGCTGGAGCCCCTTACTGAAGACTCATTTCTGGAGAACTTGAAGAAGCGCTTTGACCACAATGAGATCTATGTAAGTAGGCGTCTTGGTGTTTTGTTTTTTTTCTTTGTTGGAGGGTAATGTTAATTCTATTTTGGTTCATTAACAGTGTGACTAATCTGGTCACACCCTGACTTCAGCCTTCCCTGTCAAAGAAGCAAAAAGACAACCTCAAAGAAAAATTACACACCCTTCTAACATACTGTATGACGTTTCCCTTTTGCTGACCTTAAATGGCTGAATAAGTACTCCAGATACACAGACCACATTTGCTGGCTTAGCAATTAGCAAATCCGTAGAATGGGAGGCATCGTGAGGCATTCAGGCCTTGGTAGCGGTAAGTGACTGGCATTTTATTTCTAGAAGGGGTCTAGCTATGACGTCTCAGCCTTCGGGACTTGTTTACTCTACATTATTTCTTTTTGCAGGTCGACTAGTCCAGAAATCAGCCATTCTCTACGTTTTTTGGCTCAAAAGGCTAAAACTCAAATCAGCCATTCTCTATGTTTTTTGGCTCAAAAGGCTAAAACTCAGTGTTTTTTGTGACATTTATGAAAGTACATCCTGATGAATGGCTATAATCTTATTTCAACTCACTAGGAGGTTTTGGAGTGGTGCGAGTCAGTCATTCTGACACTAAAGCATCATGCATGGGTTGTGTTTTACCCCGTGGCACCACAGCACCCTGGGAATCAGTCATTATTAAACATTCTTTTTAATATGACCCTTTCTCAAGGGATTCTCTTTAAAAAAATTAAAATATACCTCAATTGGTTTGTATATCGGCATACATTCCACATTATGTGAAAACCAAAAATAACACATGGCAAAATTATAATGAAAGATGACTACTGTTCAGAAAAAGTTCAACAGCCTATATTTATCCAATAAATCTGCGGTATACGTTTTCCATTTTGAAAATTTATTTTTCCCTCTTGCATCATCATTCCTTACAAATGGTCCCCATCCTCCTCAAACTATCATGAAAATGTGACTGCACAGGATAGGTTTACTTTAAACTGACTGTAATTGGTAATATAAAGACAATCTTTGTAGAAACTTGAAGAGACGGCCAACTTGTTTCACCAGGAGTTTGTATCTGGCCAAAAGTAACATCTCTCAAAGTACCAAGTTTTGAGATGTACAAAAAGTCACCTTTGTTGCAAAGTTACTCCAGTTCCCAATTAAATTATCAGGAGATAAAGTGAACTCCATTTGAGATGCAATCAAAAGAATCCTAGATCTTGACACTAATTGGTAAAAATCTGATTTATGGACCACCAACTGGTATCAGTTTCAGCCTAAAATGCTATGTGCTTGATCAATTTTTGTTTTCTTGCTATTCAAAGGTTGCTTGGAAACAAAAGAATTCAATGGTGCTAATGGCAAGTGGGAAAGATGTCAAAATAAATATAGAACCACTTTGCTCTTTGCATCCCCTTCCACTGCTCCTTTTTTAGAGAAAAAAAGTTTAGTGTTAAGACAGAAAACTCCTTCATCCTTGTTTCATGAATTGAGCACAAAAAAGTTTGATCTGCTGTGTGGCATGTTGTCAAAAGTTATCCGTGTCATTCAGTGGAACTTGTTATAACGAGCCTCCCAAAGCTATAAGCACTGCAGATTTTCAGTTTTTCTATCCTGTCCCTTCTGTTTCTGGTCAAGAAAGCCTCTCATTAACATGTCATACTTTTATTGACATTGCACAGAGCCTTTTTCCTCTTGTATGCATCCTCCGCACTTTTACAGACCTCACACTGCCTCTGGTGTGCTGTTCAACAAGAGGCTGTGGGAGGTTGTGGTGTTGCCACAGGGAAGGCCATGCTCCACTCATGTCAGAGTGGCTTATGCAACAGCCATTACCATGGAAAGCATCGAGAATGTTTCAGGTTGATGTTTGAAAGTGTCATCAGAGCACGGTTTTGTGTGTAGGAGGATGATGATGAAGATGATAGCTGGTTGCATTACCTTTCAGATGGAGCTGACAAGTGTTATTTGTTTTGTACCTGTTTGGATGTTACATAAAGATGGTCTGTTATATAAATTTAAAATGGAGAAAACATTGACTTAGGAATATAAAATGCTGCCCACACGCTGGACATCTTGAATTTAATTATGTTTTACTGCTTCTTAATGTTTGTGGATGATAAGTGGGGCTTGAACATGAGTAACCTGGAGGTTATTGGCCCTAGTTGGTGTGTAGGAGAAGATACAGATTTCTGAATAAATATCTAGAGAGGTAACTCTAAAAATCACATTTTGTCTTTAATTCCATATAAAAAAGCATGAGTAAAAATGTAAACCTTTCTTTTTAAAATGCAAATTCAGACTCAACCTGAAATGCACTGATCAGAAAAAAGGTTTCGGGCCGATATTTGCTCTCAGGTTTAGCTACATCCTTTTCCAGATTTTACACACAACATAACGGTGGTAAATCATTTCTCTACATTTCGGCATCAATGTTGGATACATGCAGAGGTGTAATGATTTGTTGTTCAGTTGAATTCTGCTGAGTGAGACCTTCTAAAACAGCTATTCCTACAATTTGAAACAAAGTGGTGAAAATGCATCAACTGGAATCAAACTGCACATAATTTGATGCCATGTATACTGTTTGCATGCTGCTCCTCACATACTAGCTGAAGCCTATAGCCAGCACCTCTCTCTGCCCAGTGGAGATTCCTCAAATTTTATGTTAAAGTGAAACATATCTTCAGTTTTACTTTAGGTATTGGCTGCATGCCTCAACAGCAGAATATGAACACTGAGCAGAGAAGTAGCCGACTCACTCACTTCTCAATGTGTGTGTGTTTTTCTTTTTTTTTTTCCCCTAAATGGACCAGAAACTCTTTGTTCAAAGCTGAAAATGTACCCTATACAGACAAAGTAACTGCTCTGTTTTTTTTTGTCTTTTTCTCTTCTAGACATATATTGGCAGTGTGGTGATCTCCCTGAACCCTTACAGATCCCTGCCCATCTACACGCCAGACAAAGTGGAGGAGTATCGCAACAGAAACTTCTATGAACTTAGCCCCCACATGTGAGTTGACTCTCTTATTTCTCTATGAAGTCACAAACTGTGGATAAGTCTGAAGTTGTACAAGTGAGAATTGAACTTGACAAGGGGATATGTAAGGATTTAGAGCTCTGACGATGACTAGGAGCTGTCATATTCACAAGAGATGAAATGTATTGTGAACTTTTGTTGGGGATCATCACTGTAACAAGCATGGTTGAGTTCTGGGGAATCTGGGATCAGAGGAACATGGCCTCCTATTTATGGAGTCACAAGGTGATTTTTGCTGGCCATTCGGAGCTGTAGCATGCCATCTGTCCATTGGCAACATGAATTCAGAATTGTTGCTAGTCAGCCAAGACGAAACAAAGCCCAGCTTGTCAATTAGCTTGTCATAGCTCTAGGCGGCTGCAAAGGCCCTCAGAGACATGGGCTGGAAGAGCAAATATACCTTTGTACCGACACAGAATCTACCTCCAGACATAAACAAGCTGTTTGACTTTACTTTAGTGATTCATGCTATATCAGTTCAGTTTAAAGCTTTCTTTTTGTTCATTTGTTTAAACTGTTAGTGAGTTTTTGTCCTTTCGCAGAGGATAAAAAAAAATAAAAATTCCAGCCTCGGTTTTCTTGAACCTTTGCCTATACATACTTGAACCTTTGTGCGTACAAGTTGGTGTTTGGTGGTTGATCATTTTCACCAGTGGTACATTCTGTTGTACATTTCCAGAAGATGACTTGGATGTCAAGCTAAGGTTAAACGGCAGAAAGCTTGAGATTCTGTTAAAGATTATGTTCATTCATAAAAGCTGAACACATCTTCATTTAAAAAGTAAGACATGAAAACCATCTTCAAGCTTGAATGAAAACAGGTTGGTGCAATGAAATGCTTAGAAGCATTGTTGTTATCTAGACTGACTAAAGGTCTATGGTGCATGTTGTTGTAGGCAAAATGATTATTTGCATGATCATTTATTTGTGAAGTGTCACTGTGACCCTGTCCCTGCTGCTCTACCAATGTTTTTCAAAACAAGGGCCCTGAAAGACTTTTTCAAAACTTCCATTTGTTTGCAGACTTGTGCCTCTTAAGAACACCACTCTTGCCTAGATAGGACTGAAGTAATTAAAGTATTCATATTCCAACATTAGAAGTTTTTAGAGTATAGAAGCTTTGTTGACTTGACATTTTGCTTTAGTTCAAAGCCTGAAATCAGACCAATATTTTTACTTAAAGGACTCCAATTGATTGACTGGGCAAGAATGGCAAAATCAGAATTGTAAGTTTCCCATTGATTACGTGTGTCAAAACTAGGGACGTATGTCTGTGCATAAATGGAGATGATGTCGACAGTAGTAGGAGTTTGTCCCGCAATCGGTGGGTTGCCAGTTCTATCCCTGCTTTCTCTGAAATGGGCTCAATTTCTGCATATTAATGGAATCAAAAATAATTTCAAACTTTTTTTCTTTTTTAGCCTTTTGATTAGTTTAGCATGCATATTTATTGTGGTGTTAAAATTTGACTTCATCAGGTACGGTACAGTCAGACTGTAATGTGCTGGCATTGTTGAAGTGTTTAAACATGCAACATAAACTGTCTGTACCCAATTTTGAACATTCATGCTGACCATTTGGTCTTGCTAAATCCATTAAGCAAATTGGCAGGAGGTGGTTGTGCAAGGGTTGGCTTTTCTTCAGTCAGCTGATTGAAAAAGCATCAATCTAACTTTGAGCACACCGTGTAATTGACTTTCTATAAAGATCCCAGGATTCAGGTTTGACCTTTTCAGTCATCCATAGATTAGCTAATGATCCATGTTATTTGACACACAATTTGATTTTGTTTTCACTCAATATTCAGACGGTTAAATGCAAGTGAAATTGCTATGTTCTTGACGGAGACTGAATTTAATTTGAATATATTTTACTCGGTTGTATTCAAAGGAGATTGGGTAGTGTTTCATAAATGCAAATTTAAGTTTTAGTCACACAAGAATTCTGTAGGTCAGGGTAGAAATGGTTCTAATTTTAAAGGATTTGTCCAGAATTGGCCTGACCACACTGTTCCTGCTGTAGTTTTATATATTTTTTTTGTTTCTGCCAAGCATCAAGTTTTTAGCTGGCTTTTATGGCTGAAAAACCAACATGAGCATAAACATTGATGAACTTCTGCCACTGTCAGTTCAGTCCAGTATTCGTCAGTCCTGAAATTGTGCATAATTCTTCCAAACCAAACAAGCTACTGTTTTTTTTTTTTTTTTTTTTTTAATCCTGTTTTTTGCATGGCTGAGCTTCAACTGACTCAGGGACATAATACCACAGAGACTGGCCAATGCTGAAGTGGATCAGTGTTGAGTTTTAATTAAAACTGCAGGGGCTGCTGGGTCTACTCCATATTTTTATGCCTTTGATCCTCATTAAAAAGTTGTTACAAAATAAAATCAGAAACTCCCCACATGTTGCTGCAGACAAGGTCAGTACTTCTAAGACAACCCCAAAGATTGTGGGCATGTACTGTATGTAAAGACCTGTTAAACTACATAGAAGCAGATGTGTGTTCAGATGGTGGGCATCAGCTTCCTCTAAACATAAGTTAGTCATTTCAGGAGATGACTGGATTCTTGTCATTTTTTTCTGCTTTTTGATGAAAAATTCAACATGGACAATAAAAATGACTTGTTAAAATAAACCTGCAGGTTCTAATTTGAGGAAAACTAAGTAATTGGTTCAGGAAAGCTTAATTGGTGCATCTTTACCAAAACAAGTGTTTTACATGTGCTTAATGGCCATCTGGGGGGGAAAAAAACAACAAAAAACATACTGTATAAAATGCAGACAAGAAAGGCTTCTGATGAGTTTAAAATTTCTCTGTTGGATAGCACTTTTCAGAGCAACAAGGAGAATTTTTTTTCCTTGCTATTACCCCTAATGAAATTATACTGGATTTGCAGCATTATTTGCAGCAGCTATAACTCCAACAGAAAATCAGATCAGACTTTTTGTTCTTTTTTGTCTTCTTTTTTTTGGGGGGGGGGCTTCCTACTATATTAAATGCTGATTAAAGTGTTTGTCAGTCTGATATGTGCCAAAGCTACAGTTGCATGCTGTAATGTAAAAAAAAAACAAAAAACAAACAGAACATTTTACTTTAAAAACTGTAACTTGGGCCCATTTTTATCAGTTTGCTGGGCAGGGCTGTGCCTGCTAAGTCATCAGATTGTGTAAAACTGAAATATTGTTGCGTTATCTGGAGGCTTGAAGGCTGGAATTGACAGGTGGATCCTGCTGAGGGAGAGAATAACCTTCGAGACTCCATGCTGAGCAGCTCAGAGTAACTGCATATTTGCATTCCTTGACTATCTGAAACTTTTTTGCTTTTGAAAATATTTGCCAATAAATCAGAAAGGTGAGCAAGTTCATGCATAAAGAAATGTTAATTAATTAAAATGTAGTCTGTCAGCTTTATTGGGTTTGATATCAGGAAAAAATGGGATGCAAATTAATCTCTTCAAAAACAGTGATGCATTTTCATCCCTGAAAATAGAAGTGCATTAATAGTGTCATCCACTTCAGTGGTTATTTATTTACTAATAGCACTCTAATTTTCCTATGTTATACAGTCTTGATAAAAGCTGTAAAAAGGAGAGTTGCCTACCTGTTCACTCAAAGATTGCACTCAATGAATTATGTTTGCATTATATTATATTAAAAGACAAAACTTGGAGCTCAAAAATGACAGTATTTATGTGAACCAATTGCCAAGTAATGCATAAAGTATAAGTTTGAATGTACAAGCTAGATAATCAGCCAATAACCTTGTAAAAGAAAGTGTGTTCTGCATATGTAATTATGGGCAAATTCTTTTACAAAATGAAAAGGACCCTAAAGTTTAATGGCAGAGTAAAAGTAATTTTAAAAGCAATCGACCATCTGCTGTTTCATGCATCAGACTTTGATGTGAAAGTCGGAGCCAATTGGAATCTTGTGGATGATTGCTCATAATGGTTGTGACAGTTTACAGACCTTTACAATTGCAGGTTCTCAAACTTACAACATTAATAGAAACCAGGCTATTGTTTAAGATGGCATTTAATCCTGCTTTACAATGTTTCAATATGTTGCAGGACTTCAAGGTTAAGTGATTTTGTGTGCAGGTGCTCTGGTATTGTTCCTTTGACACAGTTTTGCACCCAGGCATTAGTTTCTGTTTTGCACAGGTGTCTACATAATCCAATTTGGCATGTAATTCGTTGACCATCAGTAGTTCAAAGTAAAAACATTTTTTTAGCTAGAATTTGTTTTACTGTAAATTAATATTGAACTGTGGTTTTTGAATGTTTTCTACCATTTTAGAAATGCAAAATTACAACAGTAGGCTATACTTTACTAAGTGAAAGAAATTGAGCTGCCAGTGTTGGCCTTTGTTTCCTCTTTTGAAAAAAGAAATTGGATCTCAACTATTAAAGAAAATGGGCAAATGTATTTCTGTATCCCTCACAATTTGTTCACCATTCTCTGTAATTTTAACCATTTCACTGCCTAAAATATTTCAGACTGCATTAAGATGATGCTGTCCATCCAACAATCACAAAAATATTTGGAGGTAGAACATAAATCCATGGCTCTTAAAATGCAATCATCTTCTGAATATTGAACGTTAATGTTTCATTGCCAGTTGCAAATCGATGCACGGTAAAACTTTTTAAAGTTGTGGCCTTTTGAAACCATTTCTTTGTCAATTCTGAGCTGCATAGCCACACCCATCTTTGCCTTTTTATGCAACAGTCACAGCTTCGACCAGTTCAGCAGCAGATCCTCTGCCCAGATGAGCCACCACTATAATTAACTGGCAGGTGTTTTCCTCCTTTTCTAAATGCATTGGGTTCATTAGAGATGAACTAATCAGTGACCATCACAGATGGCTTTTAGTCATCTGTTGTATGTTGCTTGCCACCCAAAACAGGCACAGACTGGGAAGTGTGTGTCTGTGTGGAGTGTGTTCCTGGTCTCAGGGGGGATCGTGTTAT